GTGGGTTAAAGGCATGCTGTGCCACCATACCCAGAACAGCAGTCAACTCTGGTTTGCTAGAGTGGTGGTGGAGTCCCTAGTTCTGTCTGGGGTGCTCTTTACATAATCTTTAGTCAGCTGTTTCTCTTTTAAGAAAATAAAATGCCCAGTAAGCCCTGGTTGATATCTCTTCATTTATACAGAATATGAATAAATATTAGTGACATACGCACATCTCTAAACCACTGTTGGACCCACAGGCTTCTCACTCACGGTACAGCAACTGTAAAGGCTCTGTTGATGACAAGGTCAACAGGAGGACTGGACTCCACGGTGCCCAGAGGCACACCCATTTCACAGTGGGGTCAAACTGCTCTCTTTTCCCTCTGTATGGTTCTCTCCTAGACCACATGGTAGCTCTGCAGATGCCATCCTCTCTCCTTCCTGACACCAAGGTCAGGAGAAGAGCCCTGCCATCTCATTCTACTCCTTTATCCAGAAGACTCTCAGCCCAGAAGCAAATAAACAAAGGTGGGGACAGCTAAGTCCTGAGCGGGCAGCACCCAAAGCTTGCTGGGAAATCATTACTCTGAGTCTCATTTGGTCTGTAGGATTTTCTATTGTTGGTCTGTAGGATTTTCTATTGTTTTATTTCTCCATACCCCTGATTCTACCTGCTCTCCACACTCCAGAAATTACTCAGAATCACTGTCCACTGGCATAAGTCAACTGTTTTCTCTCTCAGTGTTAGCTTCACTGAGGCTTTTATATTTCACTCATATTCTTTTTTTAGGGAAAGGAAGGGCATGGTGATCTGAAGCCGTGTTCTGAACTGGAAGTTGTGTATTTACATCATGACTTTCTGGCTTAGATGCTAAAGCCACAGACTAGAGCACTGAAGGCCAGGTATACATTGTGTGGTACTGATATGATCTGGGAGTCTCCTGGGACTCGAGGTGTGCTGTAAATTGGAGATTATTTCATAGGTCATTAATATCTATTCATTTTCTTCAATTGTTTTCTCCCTGTACCTCATACTTCAGATACCACAGAGTAATCCTCAACTTTACTACTCTGTTCATTTAGTTTGATGTTTAAAATGATACAATTTTTTATAAAACATTGAGTTCTAGAGTGCCTATGTGTTTTATTTTGTAGTTTTATTTCTCAGCAGTTTTACATTTGTCCCTTCATTATGAACATATGTTCCTGCACATTCTTGAGCCCAGAGGCTGCTGTATAAAACCTTACTCAGCAATTCCCAGGTCAGGAATTTAACTTGGGGTAACTGGGGAGCTACTACTATTGAATACAGGAATTTCTCTCATGGTACTGAGGAACAATAACTACTGAATATGGGGTTTATCTTGGGGAATTGGGGAGCAACTACCATTGAAAACAGGATTCACTTGGAGGCTGATGAAGAGGTTCTACAATTGCTTGCTAAACTATTCTACAGAGGAATAACAATTTCTTCTCATCAGATTCATGTATCTGATGTGAGAATTTTCTAGAGAAAAAAATCTGACTGCCAGCAAACTCGAGAGCTCTGGCATAGTGTAACATGTGTTTAGACACTGGCTGTCATCTGAGGGACGGAAAGGAGGGTGTGGCAGCACACACCTATAGTCCTAGAACTGTGGAAACTCAGAGGCAGAGAAGTCAGGAGTCTGAAGCTGGCCTACAACAAATAAAACCCCAAATATATGAATATATAAAGCTAGCTGAAAGCTTGCCTAACACTCATGAGGTCCTGGGATCAATCTGCAGCATTATTTAAAAATTACTAAAAGTTGGATGGAGTAAATAAAGCTATAAAGAGACATTTTGATGGCAGCTGGAAAAAAAATCTAATTATAGGTTATTAGTCAATACTAGAAAACTAAGAATAATTTTACTATATGTGCCCAGGAACTCTTCTTCAAGGAATCATATGTGGAAATATTCAAGAATTAAGTGTTAATAGTTTAGCGCGCCCACGCACACACACACACACACACACACACACAGAGCAAGCCATGTAAAACGACGATGAGTAACAAGTGTAAGTACTAGGTACTAAGTACCCTTCTAATAATGATATATATTTGAACTTTCATCTCAAAAAGTTGGGGAAGAAGATACGTAGATTTTTTTTTAATTACTCAAGATTTTCAGTCATTTTTTAGTTAGGTTCCATGTTGAAAATGAATAATTTATAAAGTTTTTCTAATGCTCCATTTACCACAAGGTGTCACTCTTCCCATGTTCAAAACCAAGAGGGCTGCCTGAGAAAAGGGGCAGCACTGATTTACTAAATGGGCAGGACATGGAAGGAACTTTCAAAGTTAATCTGGAAAACTTAACTTCTTGCATGCAAGAAGCAAAATTATCCTGCCCCTCTCTGAGGATTTATAAGCATCTACTGGTCAGGTGTAACCACTGGTGGCTTGCCTATGTGTCTATAAATAACCCATGTTCCTGTAGGAAACCCTAATGAAACTCACTGGTTCACACACTAGCTGGGAAGGAGAAGAGATCAGCAGGAGACAGATAGTAGAGGAACAGGTAAATCTGGTCAAAATATATTATAGACACATTAAAAATGCCAAAATGAACCGGGCAGTGGTGGTGCACACCTTTAATCCCAGCACTCAGGAGGCAGAGGCAGGAGGATCTCTGTGAGTTCGAGGCTATCCTGGTCCACAGAGTGAATCTAGGACAACTTCCAAAACAATACAGAGAAACCTTGTCTCGGAAAAACAACAACAACAAAAAACCAAAAAACCAAAAAAGCCAAAAATGAAACGTTCTTATGTAAAATTAATATATGCTAATAAAAAATTTAAAGTGTATAATAAGAAGCAAAATTAAATAAATTCTTCCAAATACAAAATATCAACTCAATCTAGGACTGGTGAGATGGCTCGGTTTTTCAGATCATTTGCTGTTCTTCCAGAAGGACCTAGTTCAGTCACCAGCACCCGTGCCAGGCTGCTCACACCCCCTGGATCTCCATCCTCAGCACCAGTGCCAGGCTGCTCTCTCCCCTATTGATCATTTACGGAGAAAATGCCTCACAGCTGGATCTCGTGGAAGCATTTTCTCAATGGAGGCTCCTTCCTCCCTGATGACTCTAGCTTGCATCAAGTGGACACACAAAGCCAGCCAGAGCACAGTCACAACATCATCTTCTCAAAAAGATTCAGCCCCATCGTTGGCTGTTTCAATAGACAGGTCTATGAATGTATAAAACAAAACAAAATAAAACAAAAAAACCTTGGTCAACCCAGAGATTCAGGATTGGCTAATAAGTTAAATCCTGAAAACTTACCACGGATGGCCAGCTCTTCTTTGACAATACCTCATATGTCCCCACAACCTATCAACAGGCCCTGTCTCTGCTAACCACCACTCTGTCAAGGAACAATGAACTAACAGTGACCAAAGGAACGCTGCAGACGCCCCATAACCTGAAAGATGTTAACTAATGCGTCAGGAGAGGCTACCCCACCCCAGCACTGTTTTGTACAAGAAAGTATAAAGGGAAGATGTGGTCCAGCGATAAGAAAGTGAAGTTCACATGGACCAGGTCCTGGGCTTCATCTCCAGCATCACAAAAGAAGGCAGCGGTAACACAACGTGAAACTTGTCAGTAACTTACGAATCTAGAGGAAAGCTACAAACAAGAGTTTTGTAAACGTTCTGTCTGACAATAAATTCACAAGAAGTGGCAGACAGTACAAACTCACTCACTCAGACGACCCTGTTGTGCACAGCAGTGCACAGTCCCTTGTTTCTGTATCTACCCATCAACCTACTTTTTCCCAGAACTCCTTGAGGGTATAGCAATCACAGCCCTTTACTGGAAAGCTTGGTGTGTGGTTTCTAAGAACAGGGATATTTTATGTAAACATAGTGTAATTATCAACTTCCTAAATGTATTATTAGCATATCTTTAATCGCTTAGCCACAACTCAATTCTTGATTAGTGCCTTTATATCATTTTTCCCCTGTAGTAATGGACCTGTCTAGACATGGGCATTACATCTGATTATCATGTCTCCTGAATCTTTTGTCTGGGACACTTCCATAGTCTTTCTCCTTCATAACACTAATGTTTTTAGGGCTGCAGCTCCCTCCACACATCTGCTACTAGACATGCATCATCTTGTCTGTCTAATGTTTCTCGGTCGTTAGTATATGCCTCGGTCAGAATATATCTCTCTTGTGCTATGCTATGTGCCTCCATCACCCATACGAAAACCCAAAGTACTGCTCAACTTTCCCTACTGCATAAGCAGCTGTTTTTGTTTTTTTTCTCACTTGTAACTAATAAACAATTAATAAAATGATAGATTAGATTGATGTAAAAATCTGATTTCTCAACTTTCTTACAAATCCAAAATAAAGTTTAAAAAGTCTATTCATACAAAGTACAATGAAACTTGAAAATGGAGGTTTCATCTACCATAATACAAAATCTTTAGTAATAAGAAAAGTCAGGGGCTGGAGAGATGGCTCAGAGGTTAAGAGCACTGGCTGCTCTTCCAAGGTTCAATTCCCAGCAACCATCTATAATGAGATCTGGTGCCCTCTTCTGTCATGCAGGCACACATGCAGACAGAACACTGTATACATAATAAATAAAATCTTTTTTAAAAAAGTCAAATCAATTCAAAAACAAAGATTAAAACCAGTGCTCCATGATCAGGATGCTACAGGGTTAGTATTTTTGTTTTGTTTTTTGGTGGGGTTTTTTTTTTTTTTTTCAATCACTAGAATAAATGACTTTTCTTATGGTTTAGAAAATAACTGACGCCATTAGCTTTTCCTGTAAATGATTTTGCTTAATTAGATACAATTTTCAAGCGATGCTTCTATTGAACATTTGAGAACAAAACAAAGACCCCAAATTTCCCTAACTTCTGTAAGTCAGCTGTGCTACTGTGACCAGACTACGTGCCAGTCAGGTCACTGTTTTCACCATTAAACACGAACAAGGGCGGGAGAGAAAGAGGCAGAAAGCCTTCGTTACTCACTCTCTAAGTCAGAGATAATGAGGTTGTCATGAAGCTTCACGGCTCGATGCTGTTCTACTTCATCTTCAAGTTCGAAGATCGTTTCCTTCATGTCACTCCTTTCTGTCTCCTTTTCCTCCAGCTCTGATCTTAATTTCTCCAATGTCATATTCAAATCTTCAATCTGCTTCTTGGCTTCTTCCTGGAAAGCTCGATACTCATCTTCTACCTGAAGAAACGATGACAATTAAAGGGATAAACTCTATCTTAATGACAATTAAGATAAAACTCTGCAACCGAAGTATTTATGTTTGACATGGAAACTAAGTGTGAGCAGCTACAGACAGACTGAAAACCTGGCTACACTCAACATGGGGAAAAGCACTACAACAAGATTTTCATATGCTATGTCTGAGCAAAACCCCGATACATCACTGACCAAAACTACACTGGTGTCACTGACTATTTATGAAGCGTTTGGTGGACATTTTCTCTCCGGTTTGGGCTTCAAAAGTGTGCATTTGATGAACAACTGACATGCTCTCCTATCATTAAAAAAAAAAAGCTGTACTATGACAGAAAAAAAACCCTCAAATCAAATATGAGAACCATAAGGACTAGCAAGCTGGCTGAGCAGGTAAAGTGTTAGCTGCCAAGCCTGAGGACCTTCATTCAATCTCCAGAATGCACATGGAGGAGGAAGACGATTCCAACAAATCATCCTCCCATCTCCTCGCATGACTCAGCACGTTCACACAGACACACACAAAACATAAGTAAAACAAAGTTTTCATTTCTAATAGTTTCAATCAAAGTACTAGTTCATAGTACTCCTCAACACGTATCGCCTAATTTATCTCTAAAAGTGATCAGTAACAGACTGGCAAGATGGCTCAGGAAAAAAGGGCACCTCCTTCTAAAACTGATGACCTGAGTCCAATCCTTGGAATTCACATGAGAGAAGGAGAAAACCAACTCCCACAGTTGTCCCGACTGATGCCCCATCCTAAACAACACACACATTCTATCTCCCCTCACCTCTGAAACAAACGTGAATTAAGTTTTTAAAAAAGGAATCACTACAACAGTTAAAATATAAGTTATTCAAGTTTTGACCAAACATGCACTAGAAGTTCTCTGTTTAAAACTCACAGCACTTGGACAGGGAAGATCTCAGCAATCAAGATCACTTCCTGCTCTTCTAGACACCCTAGTTCAGTTCCCAGCACCCGTGTCAGGAGTCCCAACATCAGCCTGTAACTCCAGCTTCAAGGGATCTACCACCCTCTTCTGGCCTCCGTGGGCACACACATATGTGCCATAAATTAACACAAGCATGCATACACAGTAAAAGGTCACTCAGGATACAGAACCCTGGCCAGAACACCAGCAACCACGCCAGTCATTCTGACTGAGTTTTCACTATTTGTGGTGGTCTGAAAGAAAAGGGCCCCCAAAGGGAGTGGCACTATTAGGAGGTGTGGTCTTGCTGGAGCAGGTAGGGTGTTGTTGGAGGAAGTCTGTCACTATGGATGTATGCTCTGAGTTCTCATACATGTTTAAGATACCACTACATATTTAGTTCACTTCCTGTTGGCCGCCAGTTCCTTCTCCAGCACCGTATCTGCCTGCACGCCTCCAAGGCCACCAAGATGATAATGGACTGAACCTCTGAAACTGTAAGTCACCATCTCAAGTGTTTTCCTTTGTAAGAGTTGCTGTGGTCGTGGTGTTTCTTCACAACAACAGAAACCCCAACTAAGACAGAGCTATTACACTGAACATCTGTGAAATGAGAGACTAGAGGAATAATTTCTAAACTCTCTGCCAGCAATAAATCCTACCTCTCGGGAAACAGAAACAACTATACTCTAAAACTAGAATTAACTTGTAATAAAAGTACTATTTGAAAAACCCACAACTATAGCAGGACAAAAGGCAGCATACACTGTCAATCCCTGAAAACTGAAATCTTGACTCAGCACACCCCGTGCCACAGCATATTAAAGATAAGCATATAAAATTATCTATTAACCAGAACACGGTGTGAACTCATTTTAACTATAGACCACCTGGGAAGAAAATGACAAAAGAAAACCGAGTGAAAAATGACAATGTTATAAGAAACCGTTTACTCTATTTAAGGTCTGTGACGATGATTGTGAATAAAAGACAACGGCGGATTAAGCAAGCACTTCTGCTTTTCAACAACCGTGCTGTGTATGGCAGCTGTATAATGCTAAGTGAAAACATCTTTACTTGGGCAAATACCTTGGCAATGGTGTCCTGTAACCGATTGGCATCGTTCCGGGTATGAGCCAGATCTTCCTGCAGGCTACTGGCCAAAGTCTCTGCCTTTTCCTTGTCCAACCTCACGCTCTCCAGGAGGTCCTGGATATCAGATTTGTCTCCGGAGTTATGGATGGAATACAGCTCGGTCACTTTCTGCTTTTCATTCTCCAGCTGGGCCTTCAGGCGATTCATCTCGATCTGGTCACTGGCCACGGTGGCTTTGTACTCCTCCAGTGTGGCTGCCAGGGCTGCTTTGCCCTTCTGCTCAGACTCAATAATGCGCTCCATGTGGTGGCTGCGCTCCTTGAGCGCACCGATCATCTCTTGAGCTTCCTTGTTGTCTTGCTCTGCCATCTTCAGAGTGTTGCTTAGATGCTGCTGGACACCGAGGAGCTGCTCTCGCTCGAAGCGGGCGTTCTCAGCCAAATCCATGTACCGCTGCTCCAGTTCCATGTAGCGCCCGCTCTTTACGTCTTCATCTATGACGTAAGAAATGTGATGCTCATCTAGAAGGGAGCGGAAATATTCAATCTGCCGGCCAAAGAGTTCCAACTTATCACTCTGCTGACACAGCGACTCCATCAGAATGGCCTTCTCCTCTCCCAGCCTCTCGTTCTCACTGTTGAGTTCCTGGGTGATCTGCTGGAGATCTGCTAGTTCTTGCAGGGTTGCCTGAAGCTCCTCACTGGTACTGTGCTGGTTCTCTTCCATCTGGTGAATCCGTTCTGTCAGGCAAGCAACCGAGACCTCGCTCGCATTCCCACTGCTCCCCTTCCGAGAGCGCTCTATGCTTGGGATGCCCTCTGACTCTGAAGACGAGGGGGCATCCAGAGCATCATCACTTGAAGTGAGGGGCTGGTACACCTCGCTGCACTCACTGTCCAGGTTGTCCATAGAGTTACTGTGCTGGTGGTCCATGAGTGTATTTTCATCCTGACTCAGGAGATCTTCTACTGACCCGGGGGCAGACCCTTCCACTGAGGATGTCAGAGTTCCTCCGCCATCGCTCTGGTTGCCAGCGGTGATCTCTGGACTCAGGGACTGATAGCCAAATAGTTTTTCAGGATTGTCCAGTCTCTGCTCTAGGGAAAAGCCCAATGCATTCAGCCTGTCCTTTAGCATTCTGTTTTCATTTTTCAGCTGATTGAGCTCCTCTCGGATGGCTGTATTCTGTTCCTGCAGTTGCAGTAAAGTGGACTCCACGTCAGTTGGCTGGTGAGCAATAATGGTTTCCTTCTCTTCAGACTTCTCATCGCCTTCACAAGGGTCCTCGTTGATGCCCAGCTGAGCACGCATGTCTCGGAGTTCGTTTCTCAAATGCAGAATCTCCACGTCCTTGGTTTTTGCCAGCGTGAGGAGATCTTTCACCTTGGCTTCCAAGGCTGCTTTGTCACTGATCTGATTGTCCGACTTGGACTTGCTCATTCGGATATCACCCTCGGCAGCAGTGCGGCTGCGAGAACGTTTGGCCAATGCCACATCATTAGCTCCCTGACTTACAGAAGGCAGTTTTTTGCTCTGGTTTAGCCTTGTGCGTTCACGTTCACGTAATCTTTCTCTGGTAGAACTGGATTCTTTATTACCGGCTGAAGTACTCCGTTTGGCTGAGGAACTAGTGCCTACATGTTCAAAACAAAGAATTTAAGATAAAATTATTAGCAACAAAAATGCATGTGTTCAGAGCCCAGGACTACTGAGGTGAAGGTCAGGAGGCTAAAGAGACACAGACCTGCAACTGGTCATCTTCAAAGTCAATCTCGGGGCCCAGCTTGTGAACTAGACTACTGGAGGACAGCCTGTAAGTACTCAAACCCCCTCTTACATGCATATGCTGCATGAATATATTGTATTGTATTGTATTGTATTGTATTGTATTGTATTGTATTACTTACACATGTCATTCTATCAGATCCACTGCTTTAAAGAACTCTGTCTTATACAAGGATATTCTATGCCTGGTGAAAAGGAAGCAGCCCACACCTGGCAAGGACACCAATAATAAAGCGGGACAGAAAGCCTGTGGAGAATTCCAAAGACAGAGGCAAAGGAATGGTGAAACAAATACAAGTGGATAACAGAAGCTGACAAGGGTGGTATAACCTTCCCCAACATTAGGACACAGTACCATCACCAAAGGACCTTTTCATACAAAAGAAAAAAGTATGGATGACCGGAAGACAAAAGGAACATACCTCAGAATGAGGCAAGGACTGGCCAAGCCACAGAAGCAAAGGAGAGAGGACGAGACAGAGGGCCAGGAGAGCAGCTGGCTACTGAACTCAGCAGGCAGAACAGCTCAGTGCATGAGCAGCCTGGAGACTAAAATCAAACACCCTCAGGGGTATCCTCAGGAAGAGAGAACAAGACAACCAATGAACTCAAGAGTAAGGATGCTGCTGAGGCTGAACCATGTCTCCCAAAATGTGTATATTAAAGCCTTGCCTGGTCCCTAGAGTGTGCCTGTCAATTAAATTCAGACAGAGCTATGTGGTGGTTTGAATAAGAATGGCCCCCGTAGGTTCAAATATTAACCTATTAGGGAGCGGAACTATTTGAAAGGATTATTAGGTGTGGCCTTGTTAGAGGAAGAGTGGCCTTGTTGGAGAAAGTGTCACTGGGGGCGGGCTTTGAGGTTTCAAAAGCTCAAGTTTGGCCCAGTGTCTCTTCCTGTTGCCTGCAGATCCGGAGTTAGCAGTCTCAGCTATTGCTCCAGCATGTTGCCTGCCAGCACGCCGCCATGCTTCCCACCACGCTGATAAGGGACTGAACCACTGAAACTGTAAGCAAGTCCCAATTTAAATGTTTTCTTTTATAAGAGTTGTTATGGAGCCGGGTTTTGGTGGCGCACGCCTTTAATCCCAGCACTCAGGAGGCAGAGGCAGGAGGATCTCTGTGAGTTCAAGGCCAGCTTGGTCTATAGAGCAAGTTTCAGGACAGCCTCCAAAACAATACAGGGAAACCCTGTCTTGAAAAGCCAAAAAAAAAAAAAAAAAAAAAAAAAAAGAGTTGTTATGGTCATGGTGTCTCTTCCTAGCAATAGAACACTGACTAAGACACGCTGTTAGGGTGACTCTTATCCAGTGTGGTTTGTGTCTATAAAAACAGGAGATTAGGACAAAAGCAGAGGGACACATTGTAGGGACAGTGAGGAAGCAGACAAATAACCAAGGAGGCCTCAGGAGGAGCCACAACTGCCAATACCTCAGAGTTTACATACTCCATTACAATAAAATAAATTCCTATTGTGTAAACCACCCAGTCTATAGTATTTTATTACAGTGTACAAGCAGACTAACAGACATACACATCTGAACTAGAGTACCGAATCCTTTGGAGGTAATAAATGAACCCTGAGGTTAGGCGTAACCATCAATAGGAAAGCACATGTGCACAATGGAATGCCCCTCTGCTCGGCTCTAAAAGCCACGAAGAGGAGATAGCAATAGAGAGTATTTCATCTCAACATCCTTGCCTGATGAATAGGGCATTAAATGGGATAACCTCAGGCTTGGAAGTTAACACACTGAAGATTGTACCTTATATAGTCTGGTACAAAATGAGTTCCCAAGAAACATCTATCAAGTAAATGAATGGTTTGGCAAGACTATTAAGCTAAGCTTCAGTATAGTTATCTGTAGTATACCTACAATGAAGAAAATATAGTCTATGTCTATAACTTCAAAAGCTGCAATGAGGATCAAATAAAATCATGATTATAGCAATAAGGATGGAACCATTCCCTCTGTTAATTGTACCATACCACCATTAAAGTGAATGGTGGAATGTGATCTGGGATGTAAGAAGAAACTGTAGAAGCTCAAAGGGTAAGGGAACAGTAGGAAACCTGGGCTAGGAAAACCTAAAACAGAAGGGCTGACGGCTACCTGATGACTGAAGAGGGGATACTATAACGGTGGCCAGTTAGCTCTCTTTCATATGCCGTATCACATAATCTGACATTTTCATGTTTTATAATTCCTTATTAGTACATATTAACTGTACAAATTAAGGGGTTTCACCACTTGATTTTATATTCCTGGAAGTTTTGAAAGAGTTTTGTTTCTGTAATTATAAGTAAAATAAAGTAATATTCCTCCTTAGACTGTAGGATTCTCTACGTTCATTTATTAACTTTATTCCTTAGTTTTATTATAATATAAATGATTAGATTAATATTATTAATCTAAAAACAAATAGCTAAGGAGAAGGGAAGAAAGACAAATAATACCAAGATTAATAAAGCTTCAAGTAATCATATTTAATACTCACCTAAAATTATATAGGGTGTGTGTGTCTTAAATGTCACTTGGGCTGACAATGTGCCCCATAAGAACCACAGACTAAAAAAAAGAACTACAGACTAACAAAAACCCAGTACCAGGAACAAATAACTCCCCTTTGAGTGGTTGGTCAGGGTAGTCTAAGTGCCTCCCAAAGTTCTATAGGCTGTGGCTGTTGCTCCTAGTTTCTAATCAGAGGTTGAGGGTGAGCCCCTATTGCTGATGAAATCTAATCACACACTCAGTACACTGGTCTCAGATGAATTAAGCTGCACCTAACCTAAAAAGCCTCCCCTTGCAGTATAGCTTCCATAGTACCAGAAAGTGCTATGCAAACTGCCAAGGGAGGGAAGCAATTAACTGTCCTACCCAGCTGTGACATCTATGATCTACAACAATGACCACAGGTCAAGAGGCACTCACATGGCGGTGGTAACCAACAGCCATCTAGTTAATAAGGCACACTCAACAGGGGGTGGAGTATGCCTGGTACTAGAAACCTACTGAGCTACCTAGGACTAGTGAGGTCCTTGAGGAGATTCTACTTCTGGCATTGCTAGACCAGCACAATTCCTTACTACATTCTAAATCTTATCCTTATACCACAGATAAGTGTGGCCATATTCTATCAAAGAAGCCTCTCTACAAAAAAACCAAAGCCATTGCAGAAAATCAATGGACATAATGCAAAGATCAACCAATTATAGGGACCCCAACTCCAGTGGATACATCTACATCACAGCTCCTGCATCTGGACTCAGGGAACATCACAGAAGAGGAGGCAAAAGAACCAGAGTCCCAGGAAGTCTCCTCTATAGGAGTCCTTCCTATAGGACTGTCTCCTCTAGAAATAGCCCCATAAACAAGACAGAAACAAGAGCAGTATAAACAGACAGGCTAACCTGGAACAAAAAAAAAAATCTCACAGGGTCCCACTCCAGCAAATGATGACTTATGGGAGAAAGAGAACTAATCTCTCCCAGGGGTCAGCCCTCATAAGTGGTTACCCAATACAAAGTGGTCAGCCACGAAACCACACACACACACACACACACACACACACACACACACACACACGCACGCACGCACGCGCACACACACAATCACACACACATGCACGCACGTGCACAAACCCATGCACGCACACACAGGCAAAGATGGATGTGAAGGTGCGAGGCTGATTATGCACTGGGAATCCAAGGCAGAGGAGGACAAGACTGAGTAGCAGCCATACCTGCGCTAATCTTGGGCTTGCTCTCCGCGGCGGTCATGGCCGGGGCGGGTGCTGAAGGCGCTGCGGATGAAGAGGTGCTCTTCTTTGCCTTCACACCATTCGTCACACTCACTCCTCCAGCCATCCCAGCTAAAAGGTCATCATTGCTCTTGGTCTACAAGCAAGAGAAAATAAAAACACACTGACTGAACAAAACAAGACTAAATCCAAGACTGAGCAACGCTCTTGACTTTTATACTACACTTAAGAACTCTAACCACACAGACGACAAGGAGGATAGCCTATACTGCTGAAGTTTTAAAAAGTACCACTAAGAGTCAAGTAACCCTTCATTACTTGAAAATGACTCTATTTTGAAATGCACCTTGGCTTATCTAATCCTCTGGTGTTAAATTTGCAAAAAACTGAAAAATCTTAAAGACATGTGTAATACAGTAACAAAAACTAGGACTTCATCGGGACATCAAGAGTTTGTCTCAATGATCACAGCACTAAGGTTTATTTTCTAACATTCATACTTTATAAAGGTGACTAAAAATACGAGAATTTTTAAAAGAAACATACTACAGATGATGATACTGGCTTTAAAACTATTATTTAAGAAAAACCAGTGACAAGACAGACCCGGGGGTGGTTTGAGTGCGAACGGCTCCCAATGGCTCATATTTGAATGCCTGGTCCCAGCTGGCAGATGCTTTGGGAAAAATTAGGAGGTGTGGCCTGGTTGGAGTAGGTGTGTCATTCTGGGTGGGCGTTGAGGTTTCCAGACTTATTCCCAGTTAGCTCTCTCTGCCTCATGCCTGTGGATCAAGATTTAAGCTCTCAACTACTGCTTCTGCATCATGACTGCCTGATGCCATGCTCCCCACAATGATGGCCATGAACTCTAACCCTGAAACTGTATGCCCCAAATAAACTCTCTCTCTTTTTTTTTTATAACTTGCCTTGGTCATGGTGTCTTCTAATAGCAATAGAAAAGTGACTAAGACAGATCCATTTTTAGTTCTGTTATTAGAACACCAGGAATTTAAAAACTGTAGAAAAGAAAAAGTACTTGTTATTACTTTAATTATGTATTTAGTGTATGTACGCATGTGTATGTACACATGTATGTGACTTCTTACACAGCAAATGTAACACAATGTATAGGTGGAGGTCAGAAGTCAACTCTCAGAAGTCTATTTTCTCCTTCCACTATGTGGGATTCTAGAGATCAAACACAAGTGGTCAGGCCTTTACCCACTGGATATCTCCAAACCAAAGCTTTTCTCCACTTATGGTGAAAGCACACATTAGCTGACTGACTTACTATCTTTGGCTGAAGCAATGCCCTTAAATAACCATAATGAATTCATTTCTACAAGTTAAAATGGTTCATACGTAAGTAATCTCTGAAGTTTCTTACAATTTTCAATACCAAATGTCTGTCCTCATCATTCATTTTTAATATATCTTTTATTTTATGTGTATGAGTATTTTACCTGCATATATGGCTGTGCAGCACATTTGAGACTGGTGCCCACAGAGGTCAGAAGAGGGAATTAGATCCCCTGGATCCCCTGGAACTGTAGTTACAGACGGCTGTGAGTCATATGAATGCTGGATATCAAACCTAGGTGTCCTAGGGTTTCCATTGCTGTGAAGAGACACCATGACCACAGCAATTCTTATAAAGGAAAACATTAATTGGTATGGCTTAAAGTTTCAGAGGTTCAGTCCATTATCATTATGGCAGGGTATGGTTGCATATAAGTGTATATAGTGCTAGAGAAGGAGCTAAGAGTTCTGTAACTTGATACACAGGCAACAGGAAGTGAACTGTGTCCCACACTAAGCACAGCTTGAGCATATAAGACCTGAAAGCCTGCCCCCCACAGTGACACACTTCCTCCAACAAGGCCACACCTACTTTAATAAGGCCACACTTCCTAATAGTGTCATTCCCTATGGGCCAAGCATTCAAGCACATGAGTTTATGGGGCTGTTCCCATTCAAACCACTACACTATATCTCCTTAACAAGTAGTATGTTCTTTCAAACACTGAGCCATCTTTCCTGCCCTTCAACAGTCAATTTTTTTTTTTTTTTGGTTTTACGAGACAGGGTTTCTCTGTATTATTTTGGAGGATGTCAGTCCAGCAAAGCCTCGAACTCACAGAGATCCGCCTGCCTCTGCCTCCCGAGTGCTGGGATTAAAGGCGTGCGCCACCACCGCCCGGCTCAACAGTCAATTATTAACCCTGTCTTATGGTAGTGTAGATAGGTATAAATACTTTATTTAAAAAGAGTCAGAAGACTTAGGGTTGAGGATAAGTGATAGAATGCCCACCTAGCACACTCACAGACCTGTGCTTGATCATAAGACCAAGATAAAAAGTAAAATAGGGGACTGGAGAAATGGCTTAATGGTTAAGAGTACTGGCAGAGGACCCAACTTTAACTTCCAGCACCCACACCAGGCATTAATGTCACACGTCTTTAATCCCAGCACTCAGGAAGCAGAGGCAAGTGGATCTCTGTGTGTTTGAGGCCAGCCTGGTCTACAGCGTGAGTGCCAGCACAGGCTCCAAAGCAACACAGAGAAACCCTGTCTTGAAAAACCAAAAAAAATAAACCTTTCAGCACTGACATGGTGGCTAACAACCTTCTGTAACTCCAGTTCCAGGGGATCTAATGCCCTCTTCTGACCTCTGTGAGCACCAGACAAACAGGGGTGCACACACATACATTCTAGCAAAACACTCATTAATTTTTTTTATTTAAAAACTAAAAATAGCTCTCTTCCTGCTGCTCCTTTGAAGAGACAGGCCTTTTACATTGACTGCTGGCATGCTCACTGTAATTTTTCCATCTCTTCTAACTGTGCTATGAAATTCTGCAAATAGATGCACATCTCTGCAAATATTCCCTATCATTAAATCCCAAAACATGAGATTAATGAAGGAAGATGTTACAGATACACCTTTAACAACACATGCAAGATTCAATTAACTTGGCAAAAATATTGCAGATTCAGAGAGTGAAATCCCAAAGGATTGCATACACTTCATGGTCAAAGTATAGTCTACATATTTTCTCAAATTTTAAAATTACTTTCCAAATTGTACATTTCAGAGGTGAACTATCACATGGTTAAATTTTTCTTTCTTTCCCCCACCCTGCCCCTGCCCCTCTGTGTGTGTGTGTGTGTGTGTGTGTGTGTGTGTGTGTGTGTGTGTGTGTGTGTGTGTGTGTATGTGGTGTGGGTATATGTACATTTAGCATTAAGAATCCACCCGGGGCCTTTTACATGCTATACAAGCAGCCTGTTACTAAGCCACAACCCTGTTAACTAGCTTTTATACTACAAAATATAAACGCAGAAAATCATGATCAAAATAATTACAGAGTACTATCAGCTATTTGGGTTCTGACAGATGCTTATTAGTTCCCTCAATCAATTTTTACAAAAAACATTTCCCTGTATACTGGGAACTCTGCTGCCTCTTTAAGCACTAGCTATGAATAACTGAGGGACCATCAGCATAGAGAAGAAGCTTAACTACCGACTGTGACATCTCACTGAGGAGAGCTATCACTGCTCATTTCCTACCACCACAGCTCCCATCAAGAGTGACTGGAGCCTACATCCCAAAGATCATCCTCCCAACTCTCAACTAGATAGAGGTGGCATCCGAAATGAGATACTGAAAAGTTCAAGGGCTTTTACCCTGACACTATGAGGAAAGGGTCATGAGAAAACTGATCAATGACAAAAATGTGTAAACGGGGTTAAGTATGGACACATGATGTCTAAATAACTAGAAACAAAACACTTCACTTATCCTGCTCCATTACAGTTACAGGAATGAGGGTTATGGGAGGTTTGTGCCAGGGGAACAGGGAACTACAATCACTCTGAAAAATAAAGTATAAACAAGTCAGAGAGGTGTCAACCCCCTTTTTTTACACAGCACTAGACATGGTACCTGGGACATAACTCATGCAAAGCAAGCACTCTGCCACTGAGTTGAATTCCAAACCTCCCTCTCAAAAGCTCTTTAATGTTTTCATTTTTTCTACTTATTTTTACTTTTTTCTTTCCTGTCTTTTCTTCAATTTTTAACCAACAACAGTTTTCTTCTAAGTGGCAGTAACTGATCATGTTCAGGTAGAGTTCCCAGAGAGTATGATAGCTGACCCTCCCTACTACAAATCCACCCACTGAATCCCTAACACACATGAGCGTGCATGAACAGCTGGTGTGTGCTGGCAGGAGCAGCGCACAGTGTTGCTTTACAATGGAAAAGTACTCACCCTTCAAGACCAAACTCCCAGCAATTCCAGATGCACACCTCAGAGGGGACATGCCTGCTCAGTGCACATACCATAGTAAATCTGACGCAGAGGGCACAGAAGGCAGGCAGTGGTACACATCCAACAACTTTTAACCTGTTCTTCCAGTCACATAAATAGCAGGTCACCTGTGACACAGTACTCCACTCGGAAGACAGCCCAGTAGCTAAGTAACCAGTTAGGTCAGAATGTGCCATCTGTCTCACATGAAAGAGTGGCAGCATTGCCACCAGGGAGACGCTTCAGGCTGTTGATTCAGACTATAGGAAAGAGAGCAAAGGCCATTCCTGGCGCTGTCCCCCAGGCCACAGGATGACAACTAGCAACTCATCGAGGGTATTGGGAGGAAAAAATTAGGACCGTCCACACCCACTGAATCTGCCTAGGTTCAGTTTTAACAGCCTTGAAATACAGACAGTATTTCATGCTAGATGTCTCAAAACATACATGGAAATCCCTCACACGCTGTTCCTCTGAAGGGGTTTTTTGGTTTGGTTTTGGTTTTTGGTTTTTTGAGACAGAGTCTGTCTGTCTAGCTTTGGAGCCTGTCCTGGGACTTGCTCTGCAGACCAGGCTGACACTGAACACACAGAGAGCCACCTGCCTCTCAAGTGCTGGGATTAAAGGCGTGTGCCACCACTGCCTGGCTTGAAGTGCTTTTAAAATAAATTAATCCGCAATCTAAAACTCTGCCTGAATACAGGACTGCTGGAGAGGTCTGGCCATGCTTGGTTTCTCACCGTCAGGCTACCAGAATCCCCTCCCAGAGTCTGTGCAGTCAGTTTGTACCCCAAATACCCCAACACTAAGCAAAGAAGCAGGCAAGTTAGTAAATACATGTTAAATTGAAGGGGCTTCAAGACGACCGTGTGGATCTGTGTGTAAGGATACCAGACACTGAACTAGAAGTTGGGTGAGGTGGTACACACTTGTAATCCTGGCACTTAGGGAGCTGAGACAGGAGGACTGCAGAGTAGTCTGAGGCCAGCCTGGGCTACATAGCAAGACCCTGTCTCAAAACATAACATCAACGAAAAAATAAAGGCATTTTAAAAAGCAGGGGTAGGGGCGGTGGCTGTGGCTCAGCAAGGTAAAGTTCAAACCCTGTGACACAAACATGGACTCCCACACCATGGCATGAAGGTATGCACATGAGTGTGCACACTAGATAGATGGACAGACAGATAGGCACACAGATAGACAGACTGACTGGCATGGAACGATCCCTGGATAGCCCAAACCAATACAGAGCACCTTAAGTAAGAACACCCCTGGAAAACTGTTATGTTCCCAAAATTCATCCTGGGCTAAAAGAGTCAAATCTAACAACAACAACAACAAACATGCTACCATTTACTAAGTCCTTGATCTGAGCTGTCCCTCTTACTTATGGCCACAGTCCTTTGAAGCCATGCATCATCGCTGTGCCCAAGTCTCTGATCTAATTACAATTCTATACTAAAAAAGAATTAATCCAGTCTGTAAGAAAGTCTAAAGAAAACTAACTATGCTCTTACTGGATTAAAACCCCAATGCTGACTAGGACTAATACTGGATCAACTGCTGAAGAAAAAGAAGTCCATGCTATAAATGAGGTATTGTGAAGCCGGGCGGTGGTGGAGCAAGTCTTTAATCCCAGCACTTGGGAGGCAGAGACAGGTGGATCTCTGAGTTTGAGGCCAGCCTGGTCTACAGATCGAGTGCCAGGATAGACTCCAAAGCTACACAGAGAAACCCTGTCTTGGAGAAAAGAAAAATTAAGTATTGTGGCACATGCCATTAATCCCAGCACTCAGGAAGCAGAGGCAGGTGGATTTCTGATCTCAAGGTCAGCCTGGTCTACAAAGAATTCCAGGACAGTCAAAAACTACAGGGCTATACAGAGAAACACTGTCTCAAAGGAAAAAAAGATGAACAAACAAACAAACAAAAAGAAATCCATGCTATAAAAGTGGGTGGCACGGAACAAACACAGTCAAGAAGTCACAGGGACATGACAGCAGCCATCCTTTAACACACAGCTCGCCTGTTCTTTTCAAGTCCTCCTGAGCTAGGAGCAATGTTATCTCCTGTCCATACTGTCAGCCTCCTGGGCATCTGACATGCCCCGCGTGGCTCAGTTACTCCTGTGTGCATCTCAGATGGCCATCCTTTCCTCCTCAAGCCCCGAGGGCAGGCTCCACCTCCAGCTCACCTGCACACAACACCCTGCATCAAGCAGGCACTTGGTTATTTTTTTCATGCAGAGCCTATTATTAGTTTCCTTCATACGAATACACCAAAACACCAATTAAGACCACCTGCTATTAAATCTCCTTAAAGACTTGCGTTCCTAGTACTACTAGAGAATGGACCCCGAATAATACTTACTTAATAAATCCAGCGTATTAAAATACATGCCTAAAATCCACTGCATAGTCAAACACTGCTATGTTAGTACCTTCAACAAAGATGCTGCAGGCTTCACAGGTTTGCCTCCTGTGGGTGCTGCAGAGCTGTTTTCAAGCTTGCTTTTTTCTACTGTTTGTGGTTTGCTTATCCCAGACACCTTAGGCACTGAGCCAACACTCCTGTTTGCTTTCTTCATTCTGGGCTGCCTCTTGGTGATGCATTTACAATCAAACCTGTGGGAAGAAACAGCATCATGTTGGAAAACAAAACAAAACTGGAAAACAACTCCTTAGAAATTATTTCTGAAAATTTTCACCATATGATAAAAATAGCTGAAGGACAGATGTCATAATAGAAAGCAATGTTGAAACTCCTTAAACTCACATTATCAAAATGTAATTTTTAATCCTTAAATTATATTATCAAAATGTAATGCTTTACTGATGTATAGTGTACTCTAATTCATTCAGTAGAAAGACACCTTACATTGTGTGCTGCCTAGTTCCATATCCAAAACCCAGTAGGGCAAACTCCAAATCCTGTAGCTCTGCCTCCAATGTCAAAAGGCTCACTTACATGGCTCTTTCCTCCCAGCTTTACCAACCAATGATATACTACAAATATGTATTGCTTTCATTGGTTAATAAATAAAGCTGTTTTGACCAATGGTCAAGCAGAATATAGCTAGATGGGAAATCCAAACAGAGTTAGAGAGAGAGAAGTCAGGGAGACGTGCCAAAGTATTACCGGTAAGCCACAGCCTCATGACAATACATAGATTAATAGAAACGGGCTAATTTAAAAGAGAGCTAGCCAGTAATATGCCTGAGCCATTGACCAAACAATTATACTTAAATAGTAAGTCTCAGAATGTTATTTCATAAGTGGCAGCAAGGACCTGGTACGCAGACGAGAAACTGGTCCAGTGGGACGGGCAAAACAGAGAAAAGCGCCAAACTACAAACCACACGCCCCGCCCCGCCCCGCCCCGCCCCTCTGTCTCTCCTGGGCTGGTTCCACTCCTGTATTCAGTTTTCCTGGCATGTGCCCCAAGGCTCTTGCACCTCCAACATTTTGTGGACTCTAACCCAATCCAAGCTTCACTTTCACTCTTCACAAAATGGCCTCTCAGGGTCTCCATGCAGGGACTCCACCGACACACGCCCAACTCTGCAGTTCTCCTTAACCATGAAGGAAGATTCCACAACCCCTTTACTCCTGTCTTTCATGGTTCAAAAGCCAGAACCACATGGCTGAAGCTGCCAAGTCTGACTATTTGCTTTGGATGGAACCTGGCCCCTCCTTGAATTACATTTGCATAAGCGTTCCCTTGTAGTTGCTTCTTAGGTGGAGGAAATCCCTCAAACCTCTTCCTTTCACAAATTGGAGGATTAGCTGGGTGGCATCTTACCCTGACAGCACCACTCCCTTTATTCTGTTTCACATCAGGCTTCTCCTATTTCATCACAAACCTTGGTTCCAACATCAAATTTCCTCATGCTCTTTTTCTCCTCAAACTGTACATTCTGTATTTTTCTTTTTGTCCTTCTTCCTCTTTCTCAATATAAATCTGCACAATAGTAATCACTACTAACCACAGGACAGAGTTACTATTAGACGGTCTTGAAATCTCTTTGCCAACAAAATTAGTCCAAAACTGTTGATTTAGCCAAGGCTGCAGTGAAGTCACAGGATGCAACACAGGTCGTGCTGCTACAAACACATTTAACTCTGAAACTGTAGTTGTACATCCAGAAACTTTGCATGGAGGTGAACACACAGGTCAAATAAACCTGTATCTCCTAAAGAAAGGCCCGGGGCTGCTATGAAGACAGAGTGAAGAGTCACAGCACGTAAGGGCCAGGCATGAGGACATGGGGGCAGGAATCCCCTTCCCTACAACCTCTTTTCACTGCTTTAATCTAAGCTCAAAGTCTATCACTCAAAAGTACTGCTCTGACTCCACTGCGCTCAGTATCTGAGAGTGCCAGAGAGAGCTTCCTTTTGTGGGCTCCTCCCCCAGCAGCTCAGAACCAGAAACTTTCCAGTTCATTTCTTTTGGTTCCTGCACGTCCAAACATACCTGTATCTCTTTTTAAAATTTTTTGCATGTATATGGATGATTTGCCTACATGTATGTCTATACAGCACTTATGTGCTTGGTGCCTGTAGAGGCCAGAAGAGGGTGTTGGATCCGCTGGTGTTGAGGATGGTTATGAGATACCACCTGAGTGCTGGGAATCAAATCCAAGGCCCCTGAAGAACAAACACTGACCACGCACCTCTCTACCCTTGCCTGGCATGCTATTATTAAGAATTCTGTGTAAGGCATCCTCACAGTTTAACATAATTAACCATAATGTTTGAGTGAGAAAGGCCCCTATGATCCATACTTCAATGCTTGGTGCCTAGTTGATGAAACTGTTTTGGGAAGGATCTGGAAGTGTGGCCTTCTTGGAGAAGGTATAAAACCCAAAACAAACCCAGTCTCTTTCTCCCATTCTCTCCCTACCCTTTTCCTCCTTCCTTCTATGCCTACTAACCACCACGCTTCTGGCCATAATGGTCATGAACTCACCCTCTAAAATGTAAGTAAGCCTCCAATTAAATTCTTTCTTTCCTACTTTGCGCTGGTTATGGTGTCTCTTCATGGCAATAGAAAGTAACTAAGAAGTTCACCTAATCGTTAACAATGTTACATAGGACAAAGCAACAACCATATCTGTAGTGTTCCAAAGGAGGCCTCCTCTGGGCCTCAGACCCAATGAAGTACAATAATCCCCTCCAGCATAGAGCACGGAAGATTGCCAAACCTAAACTACACACGAAGACTCGGTCCAACAATTTTTTTTATTTAAAAAGATTGTAATTAATAGAAAAGATAGTGAGAGATAGCACAGCCTGACAGCCTGAGTAGAGGAAAGAACCAACTCCCACGCTGTCCTCTGACTTTCACATGTATACTGTGGCATGTCCATATGCTATGTAAGTGAGCGCGCGCACACACACGCGCGCACACACACACACACATACTCTCTCTAAATGTAATAACAGAAAATAAGATAAAGTCAGGAGAGCTGGGTCCAAGCTCTGGCTTCACCATATAAGTTATGTTACCAAGGGCAAATCACTTATCTTTATAAATTTCCTCTTATAAACCAAGAATTGATAAAATCTCACTTAAAGGCTTACTTCTGGTACAAATAACACATGAAAACTATTAAGAGGGAAAGTCTTTACATCCTAGTTGTAGAAGTTATTTCACCAGGGCTCAAATGTTGCAGCATATCAAAGGTAGAGTAGGATTTATAAACCTGACCCTCTCCAACCATCTACTCTTAGGAGACACACCAATCAAGTTTTAGAAGTACTGGCAAATGGGACCCTATGAATTTATCCTACCTGGAACCCTTCAGCAAAGAGAAGCCACCCTGAATCAAGAACACTGTCTTAGAAACCAGAGGGGTGCCGGGCGTTGGTGGCGCACGCCTTTAATCCCAGCACTTGGGAGGCAGAGGCAGGCGGATCTCTGCGAGTTCGAGACCAGCCTGGTCTACAAGAGCTAGTTCCAGGACAGCCTCCAAAGCCACAGAGAAACCCTGTCTCGAAAAACCAAAAAAAAAAAAAAAAAAAGAAGAAGAAAGAAACCAGAGGGGCTCTGAAGCCACTCCCTGGCTGGTGGGTGCCTCCAATCTAACAGTAAGGGACATGAAACTTTCTTGACACTACAGAAACATCCAAGCTTACTTTCTACATCACACCAGAATGTTTTCTTTTCCTTTAAACTCTAACCCTCATTATAATAATATTCCCCTTGAATTTAACTGCTATCATAAGATCTTCCATGTGTATTCTTGAAAACTAGTAACTATTTGAGATCAAATCTGTCCAAGGACTAGTTACTTAACTCCTGAAATTTTAGTTCCCTTGTTCCTAAAATGGGGTTGGTAACAGTATGCACTTTATAAGGATGCTGAGATAAATAATAAACCTATCACACAGCCCAAAACAAAAACAAGATAGACAGAATCTGTCACATTTATAGAAGAACATCTTGCAAATCCTGAGTATTACTAAAGCCTTATTGAAACAAAAGCAGCAGGGAGAAGTAGTGGATCCTTGTAGCCCAGCACTTGAGAGGCAGAGGCAGAGAAAATCAATTCAAGGTCATCTTCAGTTACATAGCAAGTGTGAGACCAGCCTGACCTACACTAAGACCACCTCAAAACAAACAAATAATGAATTAACCAAATAATTAACAGGCAGCAACTTGGAACTAGTTGTTAAGGGCACTGGCTGCTCTTCCAGAGGAACCAGGTTCAAGTCCAATTCCCAGCACCCACTCAAACCGCCTGGGATCACAGTCCCAGGAAATCCAACACCCTCTTCTGGCCTCTAAAAGTACCAGGCACACAGGAGTATACCTAATACACAAAAGCAAAACACCCATGTATATAAAACAAAAATTTTAAGGCAGCAATTCAAAAGGTACTTTGTAAGAGAAATCCTTGGCTGGCCAGAACCCTCTATGTAACCCCAGGCTGGCCTTGAATCTACTAGCCTCTGTTTCCAAAATGCTGGGATCAGAGGTGTGTGTCACTATACCTGGCTGAGATTCCTTCATAAAGAATGACTAAAGGCTGTTTTACTTACTATTTACATTAAATTACATACTCTAGCATGTAGATGTCAACAAACAGCACTAGTTTCTAGATCCTTCCCACTGAAAATTATAAACCAGGAAATGCTGCAGATGTATGGTAAGGAGTTCATAAGCATGATAATCAAGAGACCTAGATTACTTCCCAGGCAGGTCTGGCATTTTGCAGATAGCTAACTCTGAGAGCCTTGTTTTTACCAGCAAGGCGGGCTCAAAATATCTTCTAGGCAAGTAATTTCTTATTGTGACACATATGCCCAGCGTTATACCATTAAAAATCCACAAAAGATCTTGACCCAAGCAATCTAAATACATCTTTCTATAGTTTCACAACTCTGTAGTTAAAAAATGTAAAGATCATCTTAAAATCATGAACTAAAACAGAGTTAAACACTGGAAAGGAGTCACAGTCAAATGAGAATGTAAGGTGCCATGGGTAAGTCAGTGTCAGATGAATCAAAACCAACAGCCAATCTGATAAAATCATGCCTACAAAAACCAAACTAATTTTGAAAAGTCAATAAAACATTTTATTAAGTCAATCACAAAGCAATAAAGTAATTCTATACTAAA